ACTTTTGTCAGTGTTATCTCTATTTTGCACAATAAACACATGATTTTTATAATCAGATAATGAGAGACAAAATAATTGCCATAAGGCTTGGTGAAGGACACAAAATAACCCATAATGCTATTTTTTAAATACAATTTTAGTTGTAGGTGGACATGATATCTTTATTTTATTTGTTCATTTTTTTATGTGGTGCTGGGAATTGAACCCAGCACTCATGCATGCCAGGCAAGCGCTCTACCACTGAGCCACAACCGTGTGTGTAAAATGTGTCCTTTTATTTGCTGAAACATGGCAATAGTCCCTTTTGCAGCATTCCCCAGCTCTCCAGGTGGTTTCCTGTCTTCCCGGCACCTGCACCTGACTTCCCCTTCTCCGTGACCTCCCTTACAGAAAGGTATGCCTTTCATTCTCCAGATGAGACGGGGAGGCCGGCCTTCCTGCAGCCGAGTGCGGCTGGGGCCTGCCTGTTGACTGTCAACTGCCTCCTTGGGAAGGGCATTGAGTTTCTTGTAGCTTCAGTTTCTTCTTAAATAAATTTGAGAGAGACGTACTGACCTTCTGGAATTGGAGCTCTGTGCTGCAGTCACCTGGTCACTGCACACACATCAAAGATGTTCAGACACTCAGCTGACTCCCACAGGGACCAAAGCAGACTGAGGGCCAGCTGGGCACCCAGGCTTCCCTGTGCCTTTCCCAGAGACTAGACTGTTAGCTGAAAATAAGTTTCCACCCCGCTTCATCATCTTAGGCACAAGATCCTAGATCCCACTTGTTGGAATAAAGGATGCAGAGGTGCCTGGTAGAAAACTGCTGTGGCCTCCATCTTTTCAGGATGGCCTGCTGTGGACCAAGGGGACTGTGAGTCGGGGGTCTACACATGCTGTATTGACCTAACCTTTTACTAGATGCCTTCTTAGAGTAGACTGTGAGCTATGCTGGGCTGTGGAAATAGAAAGCAACCTTTGTAAATCTTTGCATTCTTGGTCTCAAGTAGGAAGCACGATAGACCCTCATTGAACCATGCCAGGAATGACTGGACGAATGTTCAGGAGCTTTCTAGACTCTTGGCCCATTGCAGTTAGATATCCCTGTTTGATCACTTTTGAAGACATTTTTAAAGTGCTTGTGGAAGGTAACCAGATCTAAAGACCTTTAGTGATTGCTCATTGAAATGTTATATGAGGTCCTGCCCCTGAAAGGCCCGACATTGATTGAATCTTCTTTTCTTACCATCTTGAAATTCAAATTGCTTCTAAACAAGGACCTCCACACTCATATAGGACCTCAGAACTGTGTGGGTGACCCCATATATCTTACCGAACCCAGAAGGTTCACAAAAACTGGAGGTTTACTTCAATATGAATTACTTATACAAAACCAACAGGTTAGCAAACCACATGTGACTGAGGGAGAAACAGGCTAGAATGTGACCCTGGCTTGGCTTAAACAAAGCGGAGAGTGAAGAGGCCAATGTGTAAATATCTTTGAAGTGAATCTCCATGGAAAATACATGGCAAACTTTAGAAGTTTGGTATGAAGGAGTTCTGTTACTGCTCCATCTCTCTGGCTTCAGGTTTTGAAAACCTGACCCTGAGTGTCACCTCTCGGATGTCTCTTGCACCTCAGTGGTACACGCGTGCTGTGTGATAACACAGTGGTTCAACCTGTGGTTCTGTAAAGATGGAAGTCCAGGGACCATTAATCCCTGGGTGCATTCTGCCAAGACTGTGGGAAGGACCAGCTCGAGAGCCGGGGTCTGAAGGTCATTCAGAACAAGAGGATGTTCCTGGGGGTCTGAGCTCTGTTTCCACTGCATGTAGAAGAATAAGAACTGTCCTAGATTCTCCTCGTCAGGCCCTATTTTGTTCAGAGTCTTTAGAGCCACAATCAGTAACTCTGTGGGTGTCCGAGTTCCTATTTTTTGACAAGTAAGGTGTAGCATGGAGCATCAGCCAGACGTCACAGCCACCAGAAACCGACATGTGTGAAGAGAGGCCCAGGGCACCTGTGTGGCCATGGGGCTGAGGAGGCCAGATGTGGACGCTTCCCGATCATGGCAGCTCTTGGCCATGTGACCTCACATTTTAACCTATTCTTTTTCGTGTATCTTTTTCTATCCCTGCCATTTGGGAGATCTGCAAATAAAATTCTTGATGGCAAAGAAAGCAAAGGAAAAAGAAAATATTTGTTGAGGACCTACGGGTACTTTACTTGCGTTTTGGCCTTCGTATCTCCCAGAAATCCCAGAAGAAAAGCATCCTTTACTATCATTTTATAGAAAATTTGACTGAGCTTTTGAGATGTTAAATAACACAGTAAACTCAGTAATAGTTAATTCACTTAAAATACATCGTTCTTCCTGTGCCACATGACATCAGCCTGTGATCAGGGGTGAAAAGCCTGTTCCTGGGTCACCCTGGGTGAGATGGTTTCTTCTCCGCTGAGAGTCTGGGATCCGATAGACCTGGGTCAAGTCTGTGGACAGCACTTTATGAATCCTGAGACTGCTGCTTTGCTTCTGGGAGTCTTTGTGTCCCCATTTGGCCAGTACAAATAGTGACACCTTCACTATCCACTAGGCTGTATGGAATTAGAAGGAACCCATTTTGGGTAGAAGTCGGTGGAAAGAAGTGATTGCATGGTTAGTGTTGATGATGTCATGGGTTTCTGCAGAGAGTTGAATAGGTTTGTTTTGGAGGTGAAAATTGGAAAAGGTTGTTCCCAGGCCTCCAGCCACCACAGCCAGCGAGTAGAACTGTTTAACAGGGGATTTCGCGGAGAGGGTGGAGTCAGTCATTCTT